TAGAGTAGTACCTACCATGGAAGTCAGGAGATCTGGGTTCTTGTCTTAGTCTACAACTAATTAGCTGTGTGTGACCTTAAACTGCTCATTTATTCTCTCTGGCCCTTATTTTCTTATCTGAAAGATGAAGGTGTTTGATTATGTGATCTCTGAGGTCCTTCACAATTCTAAAATGCTAAGATTCTATGAAGTAAGTTTTGTAGTAGTTGTATAGTTTATGTTAAGATTTAATGAAGGTATATTTTATGTAATGTGTGTTTGTGTGTTTGTATATTCATATATTTAGGTATTCGTTGAGTTGTCTGAACACTTGTTGAATGTTTTTTGTCTTCTGTGCTCGATGTCAGAGACATTTTAACTGAATAAGACAGTTATGGACCTTGCCTTCATGGAAAAGTTTTCAATGGAGAAGAGTAGAATTAAACAGATATTATGTAATTAATGAGAAAAATAGCCGAAAGAATGAACATAGGGGTATGGGGAGAGTAGATAAGTAAGAGAGAACAGCATATACAGAGGCCCTGGGTGAGGATCCAGGAATACTAAGGAATTATAGTAAGGCAGAGTTCCAAAGTGAGTCACACGAAATGCGGCTGGTGAGTTGGGGGTGCATCAGATCATAAAATGATTTGTAGACCATTTAAAGATTTTGGTTTTTATGCTAATATTACATATATTACTTCCAATTATGTGCTTGGTGTTACATGATCCAATAAGTGCTAATAGCCATGAAATACATTTATTATGCTAAAGAAACGTTTTCTGTCAGTCACTGCACTATCAATGACATCAGGTCCCTGTTTTTTCCCTGTACCCTTTCACTCTTTAACAGTGTTTTAAGATGTGATAACCTAACAGTATTTGCAAGGTCAGTATAGTAAAAATTACTTAATGCCTGTTAAAGTCAGATAAGCTTTTCTTTTTGGATTATCGACTGTTTCATATTTTCTTTGCCCTTTTCCTGCTCAGTGATGACTTGAGAATTTTTAGTATGTTATCCATTAAAAATAAGCAAATTAATACACTGGTTTTGTGTATTTTTATTACCTATTGGCTTGCTTCCTATTTCACCACTGGTTGTGTTCCTCATTGGGAGATATTAGCATGTAAAAACCATGGTTTATATGCAAGTAAGTTGTCTGATTTTTTTTTCCTTTTAATTGTTCATTTTTAAAGAACACTTACGTTAAAAAGACCCGTACTGGGCTTCCCTGGTGGCGCAGTGGTTGAGAGTCCGCCTGCCGATGCAGGGGACACGGGTTCGTGCCCCGGGAAGATCCCACATGCCACGGAGCGGCTGGGCCCGTGAGCCATGGCCGCTGAGCCTGCGCGTCCGGAGCCTGTGCTCCGCAGTGGGAGAGGCCACAACAGTGAGAGGCCCGCATACCGCAAAAAAAAAAAAAAAGACCCGTACTGATTTCACTCATTTTCTCTGCGACTCGTTTGCGGTAGAAATATTCCTGTTGGTTACACTGAAAATTGTCTAATGATGAGGGCTCAGTCTATCTAAGGCACTGTGACAAAAGGGAAATGACTGCTTTGCTGATATCTGAGTATGCCGAGTTATTTCAAAGATTTCATTTCAAGTGTGTTTTCACTTTTATAACTTTGATGCAAAGATAGCAATTAAAACCTTATCATTTTTAGCAGCAGGGTTATGCTTCTCAAGCTGGTTTTCTAATACTGTTTTCAGCAAACTGAGATAGGCACCTACTCTAACATATCAGAATACTTTAGTCTCACCACTGAACTGTGTAATTCTCATTCTTGTTTAAATGGCTTCAGTATGCTGTGCTCTTCTCAGAAACTAAGAACAATGTGTATTAAATCTCATGTTCAACTCAGTCTAATGAGTGTTTATACAAGCTAAAACAGCCTATTATATATTTATGTTTCTTATCCTCTGTGTATTTGAATTAATTTGAAAGTCATTATGATTAATAAATTCATGGGACATGAATCCTAAGCCATTTATTTTTTTCTCTTTTGTTTAGATCTGTATTTCAGTTTCTACCAATGTTGATTAATTTATTCAACAGATATTTGTTGACCACTGATTATGAACAGAAGCCTCCACTAGTCACTTGTGTGGGATATACAGATGGATAAGACATTCTTAGTCCCAAGGATCTTACAGAGTTTTCAGGGCAGTAAAAACATTAAGAAAGTTTATAAATAACACACGTGAAAAATATTAAAATGCGGCATAAGAGAGTTCAGAGGAAGGAAGAATTATTTTTCCTTCTTCCTTCTTTGGGGTACAAGCTAAGATAAACCTCCCAGGGAAGAAGCATTTACAGCCCAGATTTTAAAAGATAGGTACTCAGAAAATGCAAAAAATATATGTGGAAAAACATTGGGTATATAAGAGAATCTGATTTATTTTGTATTGAATGGAAGTATATGGAGATACAGCAGGCAAAGTAAGTCGGGATGAGATCACTGAGGGCCTTCAATGCAATTTATCTGTGTAAATTAAATTCATGTTTAAAAATATAAATTTGGGAGGGATAAATTGGGAGTTTGGGATGGATATATACACACTACTATATATAAAATAGATAACTAATAAGGACCTACTGTATAGCACAGGGAACTCTACTCAGTACTCTGTAATGGCATATATGAGGAAAGAATCTAAAAGAGAGTGGATACATGTATATGTATAACTGATTCACTTTGCTGTACACCTGAAACTAACACTGTAACTAACATTGTAAATCAACCATACTCCAATAAAAATTAAAAGTAAAATTAAATTAAATTTAAAAAATAAAACAAATGTAATAAATTGAACATTTATTTTTTATAGCTTTATTTTGTAGCTTAAAAATTTTTTAATAACTATATTTTTTTGAATTTTTGAATTTTATTTATTTTTTTATACAGCAGGTTCTTATTAGTTACCTATTTTATACATATTAGTGTATATATGTCAATCCCAATCTCCCAATTCATCACACCACCACTGCCCCCCGCCGCCACTTTCCCCCCTTGGTGTCCATACGTTTGTTCTCTACATCTGTGTCTCTATTTCTGCCCTACAAGCTGGTTCATATGTACCATTTTTCTAGGTTCCACATATATGTGTTAATATACGATATTTGTTTTTCTCTTTCCGACTTACTTCACTCTGTAGGACAGTCTCTAGATCCATCCACATCTCTACAAATGACCCAATTTCCTTTTTAGGGCTAATATTCCATTGTATATATGTACCACATCTTCTTTATCCATTTGTCAACGGGCATGTAGGTTTTTAAAAAGTATTTTTGGTTCTTATTTCCATTTTGTCGATTGTATGCTAGAGGAAAAGTTGTAACCTTTTACTGAGTTGTGTTGCTAATGTTAGAATAGACTTTTGAAATTTTTTTGTTATGAATACTGATATCTTGCTTTTAATGATTTATTCTCTTTATTTAAAAATGTTTTCTCCATCATAAAAGAAATATTTTTATTCTTTAAAAGTTTGGTTTATACAGAAAAATTGAAAAATATGCATTTCTTCCCCTAACACTTTCATTGAGTGTATATCTTTCCATATATTTATGTTTAAGACATTTTAAAGTAAAATAGAAAATAAAATGAGATAGGTTATTTTTTGTATTTTGAAGAGAATTTAGACCTGACCAATGATTTCCCTACTTCTGTTTATTCTCCTGTGTTAGTTTGATTAAACAACTTTACATCTTTGACTGAAATCTTGTTTTCATTTAAATCAGAATATACTGTTCAAAGGTAAATTGGAAAAACTGCATATTTTTCAGTTATAATAGTAATTTATTCCAGAAGCACTCTTGCTCAACTGCCTAAACCATGGTACAAACATAGAAAATCTTCAGTGGGAAGGAAAATTTTCTCCCACTTAACTGTGAAGAATTGTGTTTATTTAGCATTAACAGCACAGACACAATTATGTTTACAATCTCAACTGAAGAAAATAAAATGCAGAACTTTGCAGAGCTAAAATATCTGGATAGGGCCAGAGATTTTAGAAAGGCAATTTATGATCCTTCCTTTGATTCACAGATAGTTTATGGAGGGCCTACTTTGTGCCAAGCCCTGTAAATACAAAGCAGAATAAGACATGACCCTTGTCTTCAAGGTGCTTACAGCCTAATTAATGGATCTAAATAGAGAATCCTGGGGGTTGACACCACACTCATACGTGCAAAATAAAAATCAATAATGCAGAAGACTTCCATTTGGTAGAAATTAAGATTATTGAAGGAAGCTGCCTAAAGCCCAGGAATTTCTGTTTATCTTAAGGTTTTGGTGTTAAAATTAGAGGAGTAAGATAATATATGTGTGTGTGCGTGTGTGTATGTGTGTGTGTGTGTGTGTGTGTGTATAAAATACAGCAAGACAAGACTCACTAAGTGTGGATGTTCCAGTATTTGGAATATAAGAAAAGAGAGATTTAACTAAAGAATGAGAGAGGCAGGAATAAATGGAGATGGGCTTCTTATTATTATAAACCTACGTGGAAAGAAAGTATCTTTGTTCTTATTAGTATATAAATGGAAATGTCTTATTTATGTCTCATACCCTGGATCTTTATGCTCATTTTAGTTTTATAACAATATGGAGTTTTTGCACTAATGACATGTCTTTCTCAATGTAGTCTCTCAGAGATTTATTTTCATTTAATTTCCATTCTTAATACTGTTGGCTCATCACTATCTCTTCGTTGTGTTATTCATGCACGCTTATTCACATAAATTGAGATAAACATTGATTTTTGAAGCCCTACTAGATAAATAAAAATTTCTAAGTGATTTAGGTAGTGTTTTACTGGTCCATTAAGAGGAGCTGATACCCTTTTGTAGGATGTGGTAGTCTCAATCTTATATTCAGAAAGCATTAAACAAGTTTAGGCTAACCAGCTTTTCATTTTATAGAAATGATTCCTGTTTTTACATGATAATAAAAATAAGAATCTATATGGCATTCAGAATTATGGTATTTTGATGATTTTAAAATTATTTTTTTCTATATAGGACACCATTGCAGTGGCCGGATTTGTTATTTTGTCAGCATCTTCATCTACAAGCAGAGATGGTAAACTTTGCTTATTTTTGAAAGCATCTGAGGACTTCAGATCAACTGTTTACGTAAGTATGCAACTTTTTAGTCTCTAATTATATTGTAGTTTTTTTGTTTTTTGTTTTTTGTTTTTTTTTTGCGGTACACGGGCGTCTCACTGTCGTGGCCTCTCCCGTTGCGGAGCACAGGCTCCGGACACGCAGGCTCAGCGGCCATGGCTCACGGCTCCAGCCACTCCGCGGCATGTGGGATCTTCCCGGACTGGGGCGTGAACCCGTGTCCCCTGCATCGGCAGGCGGACTCCCAACCACTGCGCCACCAAGGAAGCCCTATATTGTAGTTTTAATGAGCTAAAGTAATGGAATAGAAGTAGTATTTCTGTGTATCTGCAGATAAACTACTTAGTCTGACTGAATTATTGTAATTAAATGTTTTAAGTTTAAAATATAAAAATCCTTTTCTTGGCTTTGTATTTAGAATGATTCCAGGTAGCAGAGAAGGATCCCTTAAAGATAGTTATTTGTTACTGAAATTCTTAAAGCTTCACAGACACTCTAAACCTGATGAGTATATTCTTTGCAGTTATACTGTCATCCTCTTTTGATGGTCTGCTTGATTTTATCTTAAATTGATCAGGTGCCCCTTTTTAGGTAAAACTGATTTCCTCCTATTTCATTCTTTATGAAGGTCTTCATCCTCTCCTTCTCACTTCACCCCCCGCCCCCTCCCCACACAAACGCACACACACTTTTGGAGACTCTGCCTGTTTGGTCAAGGCTGTCAGGTGGAGAAGTAGAGTGGGGTCAGGCTATGTGCCTGCAGACCAGCATCTGCCTGTTTTGTTTTGTTTTGTTTTTTTGTCGGAACAGGGCATTTTATGGGCCAGGTGTGGTTCTGTGATATTAAAATTGGTGAATTAAACTGAAGCTTAGCTTAGACAACTTTGTACCTGCCACTCTTAATTTGTAAGCTATAACTTTATGCCATTCTGTGAACTGGAATATTATAAAGTGTGTAGTTATACTACAATTAAAGGTCTGTAATCACATTGGACATGTTTGTATACAAATAAGTCCTCTCTTTTTTTTTTCAGGTTTATGTTAAATCTGTAAGAGATTTTTCTACAGAATCAATGTCTTTGGTAAGATGGTATTAATTTTAATTTAGAAATGTACACCCCACACACACATACATATATGTATTTGACCCACTTTATAGACTGATTTTGAAATAGTATCAATACAGTGGGAAAACATAATCTCTACTCTTTTGATATATAATGATATTACATTTGAGTTATATATTTCCCTAGTAATTAATACCTGGTTCATCTGTTGTCTGGAATATTTGCTGATATTTTGCAGAAGTTACGTACACAAGAAAATTAAAATGGAAAAGAAGTTTTATTATGTGAAGACACTGGGATTTTTACTCCTTTTGAATCTTAGGCAAATTCATTTCTTTTGCTTTTCATCAGCTTATATTTAAACAGATTATTATGTGCTGAATTGTGATTTGACAAATTATGTAATTTTAAGTAAAGAATTTTATTATACTTTTGATACATTTTGCTTTTTCTTTCAAATCATATTTTCAATATTTTATAAAATTTTGTCATCTCATAGCAATGGGAAGGTTCCCATTTTTAAAGGTAAGCTACTCGTAGCTGAGTGAAACTGTAAAGAAGGTAATATGTTGATAAAGTTTAGTTATGGCAAATGGGCTCCTTAGTTGCACAGGTGGGTTCCTTAGTTATGGCACATGGGCTCCTTAGTTGTGACCCGTGGGCTCCTTAAAATAAATTTTATGTTCTACCTTTAGTTTCTATTGGACAGAGTTCAAGGACTTTGCTTCTAGTTGACAGTGACTACGGGATACAGGTTTTAAATTCTGAACACTACCGTAATAGTATAACTTAAGTTTGTTATTTAAGGTAACTGTAACCAATAAAAGTATTGATGTACTTTTTAAAAAATATGAATTAACTCTGATATTAGTGTTTTTCAAAATTGTTATAGATAGGTCAGCTTCAAATATTTGATATGTCCATGCACTTGTAGTAAGGCAGAAGTAAATGAGAGAGCCTCTGAACTTGGCAAAGATGGTTTTTCAGGAAGCTCAGGTATTCTGAACTATTAGAATATAACTTAGCTGCTCTGCACACACATACTGGCTTATTTACATTGAGAGCCAAATTACAATCAAGATGTTGATTGCTGGTTGTGAATTAACAAGTACATTACTTGGAAAACCATAATGGTTAGGGTCATTGAGCTGTGCTGGCCTTCCCATTCATCTCCACATTAAGGAGATATTTGTTAAGATAATATACTGAATCCAGTTAGTTTGTCAACTGAATACCTATTGTCTCTATTCTGTCCCATATGCTGACCATTGTTTTTCTTTCATTACTTTTTTTTAATACCATGATTTGATGAGATTTCTAAGCAAGCCCTGCCCTTGTGTTTGACCTGAGGGATCAGATTCCTTGAAAAAAACCAATTCATTTTGATTTGATTTTTAAAATTTTAACTCTTAGTGTGATAGGTAACCTTATTTCCAATTGGGAGTGAAGTGAGTGGGTGATGGGGCCAGATGTCTGAACCCTTTTCAGGATTGTTTGACTAACATCAGACGTTCTTGTGAAATCACCTCCCTTTTCTTTCCAAACTTCTGTACAGTTATTTCAGAAATTTTTTTTCTTTTATTACCATTTTTAATGTCCTTATATCATTTATAATCAAAATCTGGCTTTATTTAAGCCTTATTAAAATCTTCATAGCAGTATAGGAAAAAAAAAATATATGCCACAAGTTTTGAAGTGATATTAGTTAAAAACCAGAACAAAAGTCTCTTAAACTGCATTTTTTAGAGTTGTGTACAAATTACACCATTTATAATCAAAGTTATTTATATGAAAAAGTAGATGGTTTATATAGCAACCTTTATAAGCTGTGCATTTCTCCTTTTTTCAGGCTACAGTCTCTTTTTAGACACTTAGAAGGAAAAAATGCAGATCAGTTTGCTAACTTACAAATTTGATTATAACATGATTCTAAAATCTTAATACTTATATTCACTGTCTTTCTTTAGGTTCCAGCCACGCATTATGTATATACACCCCTGAATCAACTTAAGAGTGGCATGATTGTCAATGTCTATGGTGTTGTGAAGTTCTTTAAGCCTCCATATCTGAGCAAAGGAACAGGTAGGTATTATTAAAATTGGTCAAGATTTTAATGGACTGGAACTGTTTTATTGGTTCAGGAACACAGCTCCTTCAGTACTCTAAGTCTTAGAAACTTAATTGTGATTTATAATTGTCAAACAATACTGATGCAAATTTTTTGGCCATTTTTACTTATAAAATATAGTATATAAGTTGTAGAGAATAAATGAAGAAAAGAATGCTAAGCAGCAACATGACAGCATATGAAAGTGTAAAATAGCCTATGAAAGTATAGAATAAGCTAGAAAAGGTAAATATATAGACACGTACAGAATATGTAAAGCTGTTATGTAAGTCATTTTAATTCTTGTATAGAAGTTAAAAGACAAAAGTATAAAAAAGAGCTACCTGTAAACATATGTTAGTGGTTACAACATAAAAAGATGTAAATTATGACTCGGTAACATAAAGTATGTGTTGGGGGAGGGGAGTAAAAGTGTAGAGCTTTTGTATATGATAAAAATTTATTTTTTATCAGTTTAAGATAGTTATAACTGTAAGGTGTTTTATGTAAATTTTGTGATAACCAAAAAGAAAGTACTTATGGAAAGTACACAAAAGAAAATAAGAAAGGAATCAGAGTAGGTCACGACAAAAAAAAAATCAGTGAAACACAAAGGAAGACCATAAGAGAGGAAACAAGGGACAAAAGAGCTACAAGACAGAACAGAAAAGAACAAAATGGCAAGAGTAAGTTCTTCCCTATCAGTAGTTACTTTAAATGTAAAAGGATTAAACATCCCGGTCAAAAGGCATAGTACTTGGGTTGTTTTTAAAGATAATTAAGGAGATATAACCTATTCTATATAAAAATGTAAGCTTTTAAACAGACTAACATGTAAAAGAATGAATCAGAAAAAACGTGGATTGCAGCTTTCTGAGAGTTAATGTAGTTTACAGACAGGCACTTTCACCTTGGTTTAATTTAGTTCAGTGAAATTTAATGTTTATTGCTCTGTTTAGTCTAATTTGAAACAACAACATTTGTAAGAGGCATCATTATTTTATGTATCATTAAGAAAAGCTATGCTTCACTGTCAATTGTAAGATATAACCATATTTTAGAGATGTTAAAAATGTGAAACAGTGGTGGTGTTGATGAAATACTGTCTTTATCGACTGTATGCCTGCCAGCTGCTGTGGCTCATGCTGGGAACACAAAGATGTTCTCAGTGAGTTAATATTTTTTAAAGATTTAACTTATTAAATTATACATATGCAAATTTTATTGTGGTATGAGCTCTAAGTTTACTCCTTGGTGGGGTGGATGGGGGAAAAAAAGCCTCATTTTCATGTGGTCAGCATTTTTTTTTAGTGTGTCTTAAAATTTTATTTTGCGCATTGATTTTTGTTTACATTATGAAATATATCAAACATACAGAAAATAATTAAATGACCCCTATATTATATTTACTGGGCAGATTTTACCATATTTGCTTCAGTTATTTTAATTTTTATTTATTTATTTTTAACTTTTATTGGAGTATAGTTGACAGAATATTTTGTTAATGTGTAAAGACTTAATTTATGTGCAAGTGACTACGTGAAGACTATTGAATCTAGAGATGAGAAGTTTGAAGTAGGTGATAGCTAAGTCTGAAGACCGCAAAAGGATGTTTTATTGAAAACCCTGATTTCTGTTGTTTCAGTAGGAGGGGAAGAATTAAACATTAAGGTTGAAGCAGAGAAATTTTGTTTGAATTTCTCAAATATTTTCATTCAACTTTACTTTTTTGCAGTCTACTTTCCACACCCCATCATGCCATTCAACATACATATGCATACTTTCACCTTAGTAGTTTCTTCTCATCATCGAATTATTTTCCCCTGAATTTTACATTGCCCGTTCCGTGAATTCCCTGTAGAGTGTAATCACTGCAGTCCTCTTCCAGTTGCCAGTGTTATCTGGCTAGCTTTAATAGGCCTGCCAAATTTAGGAGTAAGCTACAATACTGGTAATAACGTTCATCTAACTTGGTAGAAGATATAATTTTAAAACTTTTTGTAGTTGGTATGGTTCAAATGCTTATCATTGAAAGCAGTTACTTCTGCTTCTCTCTCACAGTTACTTTTGTTTTGAAGAGCTGGGTAGGTAGAGCTACGTATGCAGTGTTTTGCCCTGCACAGATAACATTGGGCATTTTTCTTAGATAACATGTATAAAGGAGTTTAATTTTAGCTTTGTCCCAGATTTTAAGGAGTGTCTCAATTTTTTTTTTAAACTTGAGACACCTTTACTCTGCTCTTATTGTCTGTTCTTGCTAAATAAGGTAAGTAGAGGCAGGCCATAAAACATATCCATCCAGACTTGTTAATAGTATGTGGTCCTGCTTGCTTGGTTAGTATCATAATGCCTGCTCACTCTGAGCAAATGCAAAGAGTAGAGAGAACACTGTGCTTATTCTTCCTAATATTTGAGTCCAGAGGAAGGGAGAGAATAGTCAGAGTATTCACAGCATCAGTTTTTACTGTTCACCTCTTTTTTTATTTTCTTCTCTGTCCAACTTTGAGACCCTAGAGGTCTCAGCCTTTTCATGCCACATAATGTGGCACATCACCTGTGGCTCCCTAGCTTTCCTCAGGAATGCTCTATGTTGCTAAACTATTTTCACACCTCCTCCCATCAAAAATTCTCAATATTAGAAAAGCAGCTTGGTTAAACTGAACAGTTTTGGATGTTACAGTGTTTCCACAAGCAGACTTATGCTATTCAGTTTCTTAGAAAAAGGACACCTGTTTTAGCTACTTACTGAGCATTATAATCAAATTACTAAAATTGTATCCAAAACATTGGATTTCTAAGAGCTCCTATCTGTTTTACTTACTTTTAGTTCTTAGGATAGAGTGATAGGATATAGAGCCCTAGGATTTTTTCTTTTCCTGTTCTTTTAAACATTCCAGCTAACTCTGGATTGCTAATTTTGGCTGTGTAAAAATACTATTTTCACTTATGAGAATGACTTGCCATTTATGCATTAATGTTATATAGCATAATTGTTTGAATATTTTTGTTTTGCCTGAGTAATATTGGTTGCCTATTAATGATTATGTAGTTAGTGTCTTTTAATTTCTTAAAGTATAATAATTAACTCCCACATATTCCACATTAACATGGTCGAAAAAGAATTTATTAATTACTGAATGATTAATGACTCATTGGTACTCCATAAGATCCAGGAGCCTTTCTGATTCATCAAAGGGAGATTAAAACCTAGTACAACATAAAATTGTATGTAATATTTACTTATATTTTTTATTTTTTAAAATTGATAACGCATCTTTAGAATTTTTAACCCTTTTGTAGTCCTACACCTTTATGAAAATGTGATGACAGTTATAGAGCCTGTCCTAGAAAAATTCACATGCATGCTGAAACACTTAAATATACAATATCAAAGTTCATTCCCTGCTGCCTCTGAGCCTCAGATTGCAAAATCCTGATCTGTGGTATGTTAATACTCACTTATTTGACTATTCAGTTAATATCAAAACTACAACATACATTTTGGCTTAATGTATGGCATTTAAAACAAAATAAATAAATACACAGTTTTGCTTTTCAGTTTGCTAATTTGTTCATTTATTCAACAAACATTTATTGAGAACTTTCTATGTGCCAGGTGTTATATTTTATAGACATGAGACATTCAAAGATTTATGTAATTGTTTCCACCCTCAAGAAATTAAAGTCTATAGTTAAGCAGATAACCATTATAATACAATGATTATAATTATTCATGATTTCACTTTGGTTTTAGTCTTTCCCCAATTCGTAAAACTCTACTTGTCCATTTTATTGTTGACTATGTAAGGCAAAATCTTCGTTGTAAAATGTACCATGCTTTTTGAATGTGTGTTTTAAAGCTGAATGTTGGATTTACCTTTTACATAAGATGCAGGTTGTGGGCAGGCACAGAGTTTTACATTTCCCCCAAGGGCTAAAAAATGATAATATCTAGTTGAGTGAGGTAAGAATCTTCAAGTGCTTGGCTACCTTGCTTTCAGGAATGGAGGGCATCCAGGGCACAGCTAGTCATCACTTATCTCTTTAAGGATTTGGAAAGGTGAGCTAAGCCTCTCTTCAGCAGTTTCCCAGCTATTCTGTCCATGCCAGAAGGAAGTAGGTTTCCACTTGGAGAAAGAAGGTGAAGAAAGATCTTTCTTCCCCTGTCACTGAACCTTTGTGTGGCTTGCTTCCTTATATTCAAGAATGACTTCTTTGATGAAGCTTGAGGCTTCTATCTGGCTTCCTGTCCATAGCCTAAGAATCTGTCTTTCATGACCTTTTCCTCTAAAAATTATTAGCCTGTTTATTTAGGATGTTACCCTTATTTTTCATGAGTTTTTTAATTTGAATTATTTTCATGAATCATAAAGTCAGTACTGTTTTCCCATTTTTTCTTGAAACTCGTGTTATATTCTTTTATTCATTAAATTAAAAAATGTATTTGCTAGCCTTGTGTAGCACTGTACTGTACTTAGTTGTTTTCTATAGACTCATAGGTTGTTGTCCATAGATAAAATAACTCTCAGAGAGTTTACAAGTGAGGGAGACCCAAATGTAATCAGCTAGCTAATAGAAGGCACAGTTGTATGCTGTGACTAAAGGAATAAGCAGAGTGCTTTCCGAGTGGGAATAGAGAGATTAATGCTAACGGGAAAAGCTTCTAAGAGATGTAGCATTTTAGCTGAACTTTAAAGGGTAAATTGGATTTTGATAGATGAGGAAGAAGAGGCCAACATTCCAGAGTTTGAAAATAGCAACAAAAGTTGTCAGATTTATAATGAAAATGTGAACTAGTGCTGAAACAGTTGACTTAAATATAATTTTAAGCAATAGAACGTCAGCAATATATTGATGCATAGTGTTATGCTCTTGTAGCAGTCTTCTTTTAGGCATCATTATTAAGGACCTATGATACTTTTGTGGTGTACATTTTGTTTATATTCTTGAATTTTTTTTAATTCTATATTTTATG